TAAGAGCAGCATTTGTAACTGTGTTAGAAAACTTAGACTATCCGAGTGGGCAAACCAAAAAAAAAAGAAATGACCAACAAAAGCCTCTATAACAAGCTCAGACCTTTTGAGCTGCACCTGTTTCGAAGAATGGCAGAAAAACACTCACTTTCTAATCCCATGCCGCCCTGCCTTTCCGCGGAAACAACTTGTTAATAAAAATTTGGAAGTGGTGCAGGACTAGAGATGTAAACGTTCACGATTTACATATTTCAATGTGAAAGAAGTAGATAAACACAGACGCGAACTATTCGCTGACAAATACAGGAAAAAATATTAACAAAAAAGCAACGCTTTTAAGAGGATGCGTTAAATTCGACTTTTGGTTGAAAAAAACGACACTTTCTTCAACTAAAAATGTGAAATCAATTTCTATTACGTTTTCGGAATTTCGTTTAATATCCGTCATTTTTTTAAAAAAAAGCCCATTACATTTTAAAATTAATTTTCATAATTTTTTTTCTTTGGAATGACTTCATTTTCTCTAAATGTCAATAAAAAATAAATAATCCGATGCCAATTCCATCCGCAATCCATAGAGCAACGCCACTGGTGAAATCACACTTTTCATTAATTTGAAATTTGCCATATCACTAAACAAGACGTTAGCATGTGCCCCACAAAATCAGGCAGTATTCTCATAAAAATTTAGCTTTCTTGTTTGCTTGAATGCTGCAAGCGTAAGAAGACAGCACTGTTGCAGTGTGAACATTTGATACTTCTACATGCAGTGCACATGCGTAAGCAAAAGCCCATTTTAGTCCTGCCAGTCCGCGCAGCAAAACATCTTCAAAAAATACAGCCTCCTGCTCAACCTGGTTACCGAGTTAATTGGATAGCAACTGCGTCCTAAGCTAGAAATTCACTTAGGGTGCGCTTTAAAGGTGAATCTAAAACCTTCAGGTCGCTCATAGATAACGAATATCACTCGCAAAATTTCAACTTTGACTTGACTGGTTCCCGAATCGCTTTCCGTCAAGAATATTTTTGGCGTGTCCCAAGCTATGATGTGGGCGTATGCAAAAACTGGATTTAAGGTTTTTGGGTGGCATACGAAGAGAGAAAAAACCTCATGAAATTTTAGCTTTCTATCTTGTTTGCTTCCCAAAATCGTTTTCCCGTCAACACTTTTCAAATTTAGTTTCAAACTTTCATTCGTGGGAAGTAAGCATACGCGATAGTTTATTTTACGTTTATGGAGTAGCATATGGACTCGAAACACCTCGTAGGACTGTAGCTTCCTTGCTTCTCTGGCTGCTGAGTTGAAAGCGGGTTACGAAGTCTGAACACAACACACACACACAC